CTGGCTTTCACTTCCTAATTACTTCGATTTTCAGTTCCTAAGTGAACTGATTCGGCAGCTCCGTGTCTGTGAAATGGAAGCAGTCGGTAGCTGCGGTGGTATCGTCAAGCATAAATGGAACATCTCAAAATGATGTGCTCTGAAGCATTCGCAAACAAATAAATGAATCAATCCATTAAAGACTGATCGTATCGTTCTTTACGAAAGTCACGTTAACTTTAACGGTGAGTTCATAAGAGAAACTGAAATGTGCGAAAATGTGTGCGAAAATAATGTGCAAAAATTGTGAACGATTGAGAGAAACAAACAAATAATGGATTCATATGGCATCCATGCATGATCTTAATCACTCGACTAAGAAATTGGAAGCATTTCGATTAATTGTTCAACTGAAGTGATTCCGTCAATGTAGTAAAACGTGAATCTAAAGGCAACAACAGAATAATGACAAGAGTTGAGGAGATTTATGAGATAGATGGGAAACAACTAAACTGATGGCTGTAGCTGATATCGTGGAAATTAACGCTTTTGTGAAAAATGAGGTATGAGGTGTTTCAAGAAGTGTTTTTTTTTTGAAAATCTGCCTATCCATTGAATTCGGAACTTCACTGAATGCTCTCCTTCCAACTACATAGCCAGTTTTTGAGTCTCAATAGAAAAATCATTTGACGGGAATTAGAAGTTCATTGAGAAGATCATGAGATAAACAAACAGATCACTTTCACATCTCAAATCCCCAACGTAATCGAATTGGATAATAATAATAATAATAACAGTAATAGTAACAACACAGACATATGTGATAAATATGAGAAAATGACAACGACAATCAACTGGTTTCAACATTTCATAAGATCCTCGTGGAGCAAAGAAATGACGCTTGATCGCTGATGACTGATGACATGCAGTGTTGTTGCACTTAGACGGAGCAATTCCTAAGCATGACCAAATTCCTTCCATCAAAATTTCACTTACACCGGAGCAAAGCTTCTCGAAAGCACAAAAACATAGTGATCATTTGGATGAGAGAATGAAAACTTGTTCAATTCTAATGGCAGAAATAAGTGAGTGATGAATGAATTGAAGTAGTGTAGTTTTCTGGAAAATGAGCATGAAACATTGGTGATAGGTGTACGAATGAATATTTGAGGTAAGATCTTATCGCGTTGATAACGATCTTTCGATGAAGAAAGAGAAGAGTTAGGAATGATTCCAATGACAAATGACGTACTTCGAAATAATCGCACTGACACACACACAACAAATGTCGAATGAATCACCTCTGCAGAATGTATGACAAATAACTTGCATGAGCACTAACTGATAGATTCAAATTTGAGATATTATTCTTCGCTGATGCAATATTCCGCTATGTCCTCGTTTGCCTTCACATCACCTTTCCTCCTTCAATTACGCATTTATTCAGCAATTTACTCATTTCCATCTACCTTTCTGATATATCTACCAGCAGATTCATTCACTTCAGTTGTCCTCATCTTTTGTTAATTGCTAAACTAAAATTACCCACCGAGCGACAGTTTCTAATCATGTATGCTTCAATCTTCAGTTAACTCATATGTGTTTTGAACCTTGAAATGAAGTGAAGAATGTGCAGAGCACAACCCGTATGAGGTTATTCAAATTGCATGTTTGATACCATCTGAGAGGTTTGCGTACAACTGTTTCATGAATGCCTAGGTGGACGCACAGTACTTGAATGCCTATGCAGTTAACTGTATGTTATTTGAGTGAAAACTATAAAAAATTGCGATGTGATGATAACAAAGAACCAATAAAAATTTAGTTTAATAATCTGTGAACAAAACACCTGCAAACAATATCAGAATAAAGGTATCGTGAAACTGTGACATATATCAGATGAGCGGCAATACTGAATTTCCATGATGAATCAAACGAAGATTTCAAAATAAAGTTCCAAACCATAAGGGAGTAGAGCAGCCTCGTTAAGCTCTGAACTAAATTTTGTTCTCAAAATACTGGATTTGCAACGATGTGCTGTTCACTTGTTGAATTTTTTTATTTTGAACTGAATGAGTTCGTACGAACGGGTCGAACGGACATAATTAGTTCAGTAACCTGAACTTAGTAACCTGAAAAAGCCACATCTGACGGGAACCAAGAATTACAGTTAATACAACGCAGAAGGTATTGTGACGTCCGATCACGATCGAAATGTCTCGCATGAGACGTAGTGCAAACCAATATTTGTACAAGTTCTGATCGCTACAATGATCAGATTCATTATAAAATAAGAACGGAAGTTATATGTTTGCGATGAAAACAAAAATTAGTGGTATATTTCAAATTGCGAATAAATAATACGGACTGAGATCTGACATAGAAACAGCCAAAATTACCCATATGATATAACTTTCAATAATAATAATAATTCATTGATAAGACAATTATATACAAATACAAAAGATCAGAATTTGACGACAAGCATCATCTACAATGATATCTGTCAATACGAGCGAGCAATAAAGAGTGTAAGCAATTCGCGTAAATTTCCTTCACATAACCGGATGGATTCATTGGAAAAGTAAGTGAAGAACGAACGAAAATTAAGTGAACGAATGATCTATCATAAATCCGTGTTTACAATGAGCAATGTTTCAGAATGACACAAACACACAGATAGGAGCCAACTTAGAGCTGGAAAGGGAACTAGGGCCATGCGATTACACATCAAACGATTTCTGTCGACTGAAAATCTTATCTCGTTTACTAATTTTGCGATAGAAAACTGAACTTGATTGTATAAAATCGCATTGTTGATGGACAGATTAAAGCGCATCGATTGCGAGCCAGCGATTGATTCCCATTTGAAGAGACATTTGCTAGGAAAGTCGATCGTGAAAACGATGATTGATTCATCACAGCGACCACTTTCATCGGTTGGCTCCTACCTGTAATTTGAGCACATCATCCACTTGCAAGCGTAGTTGATGCTTGATTCGAAATTTTTAGGCACATAATGAAAACAAAATTATTTTTTTTCGATGCGAATAACGTTTCCACTTAACAGTAAGACAAAAACGAGTTTTATTTTTATGAATGAGCCAAAGTGTTTCTCGTAGAGTAATATTAAAAAAACAAAACATTCTAAAGTCACCAAATAACCAGCAAATATCATAAGTATGAATGCACTTCTCGTCATCTGATTTTCCGTAATTTACTAATGCTTTGTTACACATTACTATTTACATTTCGTATTCTTCGTCACAATCAAGCCAGTAAAAACATTGACATTGATATGGTAAATCACTTCATCCGTACATTTGGATGATGTTTACATGAACTCGAACGTAAACGTTCTGATAACAAACAAATGCTTTCACACTCATAAACCTTTTTTTACATTCCTTAGAGTGCACATAAAAAAACAACCAGTTTGAGAAGAATAACAACAGTTGACGTGCTATGCTTATTGATGTTCGTTGTTTGAAATGAAACGAAAGACGAAGAATCACTAAATCACTAAATTCAAATCACTAAATTGCAAGGCTAAAACTCGAGAATCACTGACTGTCTAGTTTTGGATATTTTTAAAAGAAAACAATTTCTCAAGAGGTTGTCATTTTGGTGGAAATTGCACGTAACAGAACGTCATAATGTAGAGAATGAGCACGAAAGAGATGGAATGTCTGAGCAAAATAATATAGAGGACAACGACATGCATTAGATTCAAAACTGGAATTCATCGTTCGAAGTTCATGTTCGTTAAAGGGGATGTGGCGGAGAGGTGAAAATTGTAAAAGTACAGTGCGACAGTGTGATTGATTTGCAGACGTTTTTGGGTCATTTCATTTCTTACTCAAAAAATTCGATTGAATCGCCGAGCTTACGATCTGTTACCGAATAGCTCGATTGTGGAACATTGATCGAGTCAGCAGATCATTCACAAACTGGGGCCGACCAGAGGGCTGCTCGTTCCGTTAACCTGCTGGCACATAACAGAACAATAAGCGTGCGATCTTTTTATTTTATTTTTCACAAACAATAATAAATCTTTCACGAACAAGCATTAAATTCCTCCAAAAAACGCAACTCAACAAGCGCGTACCATACAAACTCGGATTCCAATAAAATTTCAAAGCATTTTGAAAAGTGCCCACCTAAGATAGGTGAGAAGATGAGATCGATGAAAGATTACGAAAGACGTCAGCAGCAAAGAAGATCCAATCGTGACTTCATTAAACAGTTTCCGGTCCGTACGCGGTCACCAACACAGGTCTATCCACATACTTGATCACATATCGATTGCGTCGTTTTTGACACAGCAGATAGACGAGAATCAAGAACGCACTAACGAAAAACAAACCGAACAATATCCATATCGGCATTTCATTGTCACAAATACCCTGACTGTCCAGCCACTAAAAATCACACTCTTTTGAACAACCAAATTAGTAAAGCATCAATTATGCGCCTCATTCCTATTGCTCAAGTTCCATTTATTCAGCTATAATTGTCTATTACTGAAGCAACAAAATGTTTCATTAGCAACAATCGAGCGAGTCGCCAATCAACGCGAGTAGTGGTTAATCCACTCGCTACGTCACTATCGTCGTTAATTCCATCTAAGTTTAACTGCATTGCGATCTCCAAAAACGACGATTTGTAATTTCCGTTACAATCCGCACAAGTAATATTTACGTATACTTATGCCGTTTGCCTTTGAACTGAAGTTGGAGAAAGCAAAGAGAAAATCGAACTTGAAGAGAATTTTGAATAAAACACTTCGGTGCAAATAATCCACCTAATTGATCACATGAACTATTGCAAACATCGCAAATTTCAAATAAACGCCAAAGAAACATCAAACAAAATGACAAATTAAAAAAAAAACACAAATCAGAACAGATGGATCTCACCTGATCATCACCAATCAAAAAAGAATTCATTTGGAAGCACAATAAGACTTCGAACAATCGCTTTCGAAATCGAATGTTTTTTTTNGAAATTACGTTGAATTGTTCGCTTCGCAGCTGTACGATTGTAGGAAAACTTACGGACTGGAGAACAATTGGAATAATTGGAAAATTTGGAAAAAAGTAATATTCCACAAATGAATTACAGATATAGGTGTGAGCAAGAAAAACACCTAGCCATATATTCGTCTTAAGGCGGATATGAAATCCAAAAAGTGATTGCATTATTTTTTTGGATTAGAAAAAAGTTTTTCTGGTGTGAACACTTTTGTTTTGAGAAGGTTCCAAAGAATATTACAGGAGAGTCATTTTTCACACGAAAATGACAAGAAAAAAGTAATCACTGAAACAATTTCTCTCATAGAAAAGCATTAAATGTATGATTAAATCATATAAGTGATGAAACATCAAGAATAATGATCGCAAATGCGTCATGCATTGCGACCATTATAATAATGCGATTGAATGAATGATTATTCTATGAGCCAAATGAACAGACAGATCAAATCGCGAACACAATCGCAAGTTTATAAAATCCGCTGTATAAACGTACTTTCAATAAGAAGAACCAATGAACACTTATCGAAGCCAAAAAACAAGAAAATTTCATTTAATAATGGCTAATAGATAGAGTCCGATTCCGTCGTACGTTGAGACAACGATTTAAGATGAAAATAAGCTCATCTATATCGATCAGGGATGTGTCTCAAACAAATCTCTAAATGAAACCGATAAACAAGTTGTTTTTTGCATTGATTCAATGAATTACAAAGCCTTTGTTGTTCACTACATTTATGATGTTTATATTTTTTTTTGTTGATTCTGAAACGTATGACATAAACTGACATAATGATGTAACTACTTAGTGCATTACCAACAACGGTAACAATAAAATGATTAATATTGATATTAGTCTCTGAGATTAATGGATAGTAATAATCCAACAGCATTATCTTCTCGAGGGCTATTGATCAGAGTGCATCCGCCCTTTGGGTTTTATGGGCACACAGATCAGAGAATGTCTGTTTGTGCTGTGATCTGTTTTATGATCCTAACATCAGACGTGTTTTGTTGCTAGGAATGTACTCAAATTCCAACTGCAAACAAATGATGCACTCAAATTCTTATTGATCTTTTAGAAAATGTTCACAATGATCGCATTTTCGAGGATAATCTAAGATAAAATTAGTTTTGTTTCACTGGATATGTCATGAGGAGCAATATTCCATTTCTTGTAATGGTCTTCCGGACGAATCATTCACGATTTTCCAGAGGGTTCCTTTGCAACTGACAAGAGTCGACAGTAATTGACAGTAACCGCAAAAAAAATCGCAAGAAACACCATTTCAAATATTCCTCTTTTGAGTTTGCATTATGAATTTCATTTCGCGTAAAATTAACTTTAACTATTCAATTGCACAGAAATGTTCCCGAAGGCAATTTGTGAATTCTTTATTATTATTTCATTTCTTAGTTACACTTTTTTCTGGGGATGTCGAAATTGCACAGCTTAGTGCACCTGCCTTTAGGTGTTCACTTTCACATGCTATAATACCAAAATATACGCGGTCGTGAATTGAACATCTCGAAAGTGTTGCCGTCTTGTGCAAATGTATTATTTGCAGATGCAACAGCTGATTCATTAAATTCTCTCAATTCGGGATGATTTATTTAAGTGTTATCTTATTGTAGCCTCACCATTACACCGAAAAGATTTTATGTAATGTTTCTTATTATTTACTCCAGTTTCTTCCAGTATTTATACCAACGTACACATTCTGAGTTCATGTACACCTCTTGCATTTGACTGTTTCAAAACAAAAGCTCGAAAAGATATTCCCATAAACTCAACCATACTCATAGTTCACATTGCGAGTAATTTGCTGTTGTGTTTCTTTCGTTAGAGTAGAATAAACACTGCTTAATTTGATTATGAGTTATAGGCCGTGAAAGCCTGATGAAACACTATCAGTGGTGTTCCTTTTGTGCAAATATTTCATATTCATGTTCATGTATTTCACCCGTTCTAATCGTACTTTCAGCTTTGCCATCTTTGCAGGTGATTTAAACGCAAAATGACGACCATAAACTCAGTACCTCTGATATTATTCGTTCTTATTTGCACTCAATTAAAGATTATCACCTCATCGAAATCGTTTGCCATTGATTATAAAAATAATCAATTTCTACTCGATGGCAAACCGTTCCAGTAATGTTTCACTCGATATTTGCGAAATTTACCTTTTGAGACATTTTGAATCTTCTGATTATTGAATGGCACAGATTTGATCAGCAATGAACAAATTGCTCGCGTGCTAATGGCTCAGAATCGAGAAGTTCAATGACTAAATGTTAACGATTGCATGCAAACCAGTTGCTGAAATGGCATTCTATTCCGTTAACCGAACCAGGGCATTAGCATTGAATGGTAAACTTAGTTTCAGTACAAACTAATCACCGCTTGATTTAAGGTATATCTCAGGAAGTATCCATTATCATCGACTTCATCCAAGTCAATGGAACGATCGCCTCGCTCGTGTGAGGGCAGCCGGTTTGAATGCGATTCAATTCTATATTCCATGGAATTATCATGAAACTTTTGAGGGGAAGTGAGTTGTTTGTTTCTCTTTAAAATGAGCATGAGCTTGCACATATCACTGCATTCGTGCATATGTTCTTGACGTGATCATTTTTCTATTGAACTTCTCACTTGTACAGGATAGACTTCTCGGGAAGTAGGAATGTGACTCGTTTCCTGGAATTGGCAATGCAGAATGAACTGTATGCTCTGGTCAGGTAAGGTATCATCTCATATCAATCATTTCATCTATTTCCTAGCATTCGACCCGTAGGCAAGCAATAATGAAAGATTAAGGGCATAATTAGCAGTTATTGAACTTTCGCGCAAGTTTGCGCAGAAAAAGAGTAACATTCTGATATGTTCTGAAGGAGCACACTCGTTACTAACAATAAGAACATTCTAGACCTGGCCCTTACTCATGTGGCGAGATTGACGCCGGTGGACTTCCGTGGTGGTTACTCAAATATGAAGATATTGTAATGCGAACAGCTGATTCCAGGTAGACATTATTTGTGATTCATTTGAAACATGGAAGAGACCCATCTCCATTAGACTGAAATATTTAAGATTCTGTTTCGAACCTACGAGATACGACTTTTATTCGACTGATTTATTGTTGATTTTCGTCCTTTATCGTTCACCAAACGTGGTTCGATCGCTCACAGAATTGCCAGATTTCGACTTCAGATTTCTCGAAGCCGTTAAGAGATGGTGGGATGTTCTGTTGCCAGTTTTGAAGCCATATTTGCGTAAGAACGGTGGCCCCATATTGATGTTGCAAATGGAGAATGAATACGGCAGCTATGCGGCTGGATGTGATCGTGACTATACAATATTTCTAAGAGATTTAGCAAGGCAGCATTTGGGTGACGACGTCGTTTTATATACAAGTATGAATTTGTGATTAACCGAACTTATATCGGCTCTTCTTCGTCAACTACAACATAAATTTATCGTAACTAGCAGAAAGTTTTCAGAGATCATCGTTCATTTGAAAGCAGATTTAAGTTTCATTATGTATTTCATAAGAAGCGTATGCTATGTTTTTTCATACAGCTGATTAGTTCTGTGCAACTGATCATGATTTCAGCCGATGGTGGAGATGAGTCTTATTTGAAGTGTGGTAAAATTCCCGGTGTATACGCCACTATCGATTGTGGTCCCACATCGCCGGAAGGATTCAATCACAGCTTCACTGCACAACGTCATTTTGAGCCATCTGGTAATCTCGTTGCCAAAATTTTCTTTTCATCGCACTCATTGTCAGCCTCTTCAATATCTCATCATCAACAGCTGTCTCAGTGATCCGTACGGGTTTTACAACCAGTGCAATGCAGTACAAACTAGCGATATTTGAAAATTGACATATCAATATTAAGATCAACAGCACTGTATCTCGTTAAGGTCCTCTCGTGAACTCTGAATACTATCCCGGTTGGTTCTCGTGGTGGGGTGAAAAAGCATCCGGTGATCAGCCAATCGAGAACGTTTTAAATGGCAGTGTGTACATGTTCGAAAAGGGTGCCAGTTTCAACTATTATATGTTCCAAGGAGGAACGAATTTCGCTTTTTGGGCTGGTGGCGAGCTGGAGGATTCGGTCGGTGTTTATTCTTATCAACTTAAAATCACCAAAATAGAATCCAGAAAGTGAATTTCATCCTAACAGTATGGAACAAATGGATCAGTGCTTTAGATCACGACTTCATATGATTTCTGGGCGCCTTTATCAGAAGCCGGCGACATAACGGAGAAATATCTGGCGATACGAAATTGGATTAAAACGATTCCGCACTGGCCGAATCCACCAAAAGACATTCCCAAGAATAACTCGTATGCTTTCAGTTTTTGATCATTCCAATGGCCCAGTTTTCTTTTACATGTCTCCTTATTCGAACTCGTAAATCATTCACACAACTCGAATTTTTCGTAAAATCATAATTTTAGAATGAGAACTGAAGAATCTGGATGCCACTGAGAAGGAGAAATTGTGAAACAAATGTTGATCAAAGCTTGATGAGTTATTCCCAGAATAATTCATAATTTCATCATAACTTCAATTGATCACACGATCGACAATCCATTGATTCATGCGTTGCAGTCCAACTAATGAAATGATATTCAAGGAAGTCAGCATATGGCAAAGTGCAGATGAAGAAGGTGGATTCGCTGGTATCTCACGAAATGCTCGCTGTAATGTCGAAAAAGTGTCCACTGATAAAGTCAAAGTATCCGATGTCGTTCGAGGAGCTTCAGCATCCTTTCGGTATCGATCAACAAGTATTTTCCTTTTATTGTCGTGGTCTGGCATTTCTTCCATAAGGGATTTAAAACTGACGATAGCGCAGAAAGTTGGATTATTTCTATTTTGAATGGACCCTATGAGTATGTTAATCAGAAATCACATCGAATATCTTCAGTGATCAAAAATTTCAATTTCTTTTCTTTTCATTAACCGAAATCATGGAGTATTAGTTTTTTTTCAGCCTAGTTTAGTCAAATTTACGTTTTGTGTACTTCAGTTAGTAAATTGAAAAGACTTGATATGGTGATAGAGTCTCATCTAAACTCATTGAGGTTGATTGATTTATTCTACAGGATTCGTCGTTTATAAGACGAAATTACCCGTTGCCGGTGGTAATCTCTCAGTACCAGGTCTTAAGGACTACGGATACGTTTGGGTTGGACGCCAATATCGGGTCAGTTTCATCTACTGAATGTTACGACTTGTATTTTTAAAATTGTATGAAAAGCTGTTGTGTATGACACGTTTACTTCAGAATCATTCATATGGATTCTCATTCTTTTCAGACGTGTTGTATTCACTCTCATAGCTATCACATGCGAATACCGTTCTCTTAATGACTTTTTATCATTCACTTCGTCTCGTTTCATTTCACACTTCGAATCAATTTCTCATTCTGTAGCATACACTGTTTACTGGATACGTTGACGAGTGTTGACAGTCGAAGTCAGCANTACAACAATCGAATATTATTGCACAACAATGTTCGAGAGTCAAATGTTCAGTTATAGAGTGTATTTGATAGAATGAGAATTTGACTTTAATTGTTGAGTGAAATGAATGAGAAATTAGCAGAAGAGAACAATTTTGGTGATAACAGTCATGAGAGCGATTACAACAGCAACAAAAAGAATGAAAACCCTGTTAAAACGAAAGAAAACCCTGTTAGGCCCGGAGAAGGTAATGATACTCAGAAAATAGGAGAATGAGAAATATATTATCGATCAGTGGCAGATCAAATGCTCTTGATTGACTCGTTGTGAACAAATCCAACAAGAGGACGATAAGCCCTAACATTTGTCGCTCCTTATCAGAGGTGATAATAGTTTTGCAAGTTGAAAACCTTGTCTTTTGAATACATTATGAAGGCACAGCACTACACGTTTATGCTGGGTACAAATAAGTAGGTGATCTAGTAAATGAAAGCTGAGGATGAATGCAAGATATTGAAGAAAGCAGGCATCGTTACCCACAACTCCGTATGAAGATGAATCCACGCTGAGAATCTGACTTTGAGTTGATTTGAATGTCTGACCGACAATTTTATTTAAGGGATACCTGTTCAATAACTTCGAGAAATGCAGTAAAACATGGATGGTGATTAAGGCTGATGCAGGAGACTATCTCTCTATCATTGTAGAGAATCGTGGTCGTCTAATCATTAACAATTATGGATTACCAACGGCAAATGACCCAAAGGCTTGTTCCTGTTTTTTTAGCCTTCGTTTCTATCATATTCAACATGACAATTCATAAATCTCTTTAAAATTTGAAGCATTTTGAAGACATGGTCGGTAAACTTATCGATAAGAAAATGTGCGTTTTTATTTGTGAACGATAATGTGAACGCCACTTGGAACATATCTAATTACATTTTATGAACAGACTTTCCAGGAATTTCATTCCATCAATTTGTTTGTAGGGCATTCTATCGAACGTTACTCTGAACGGTGTTGTTATCGAAAACTGGCATCATTACCGAGTTCCGCTTCCGAATGTTCAAGACGAAACATTCGATATTTTCGAATCGCTCTTAAATTCAAGGCAATCCAAGGTATTGCATTGTAATTTATAAAGTGAATTGCCCATATCTGTTACGATGAGGTGATTCGGGCTGATTGAAATCATCAATTTTATCGCATTCAATCAATTAATTCACCCACTTTTCCTCGTTCAGTTCTCTTATTTTCTGGTTGATCTAAAGTTTGACATCGATCCACTGCAGTGGATTTTCCATCCTTATTGGCTCAGTCAATTGAATTTTCAGCTACAGAAACAACGAACGCTTTCTGGCGATCCTGGCGTTTACGTTGGGCACTTTATGGCTGAAACACGCCAAGACACGTTTCTGGATCCAACCGGTTGGGGTAAAGGACAAGTCTTGGTGAACGGCTTCAACATTGGACGTTACTGGCCCGGTGTTGGCCCTCAGGTTTGCTAATTGAATGATTTGAGCGCACGAGATCAGTAATATGATCTTTAATACGCACGTTATACAGTGCTAAGCATATGTATGAATATTCATTAGTCTATACTTGTAAGTTCTCAGTGTAATGAGTTGCTAGCGAAATGATATGCATATATCCAAACGAAATCCGATATGAAATGACGCATTCAGATTAATCACCTNCGCACGAGATCAGTAATATGATCTTTAATACGCACGTTATACAGTGGTAAGCATATGTATGAATATTCATTAGTCTATACTTGTAAGTTCTCACTGTAATGAGTTGCTAGCGAAATGATATGCATATATCCAAACGACATCCGATATGAAATGACGCATTCAGATTAATCACCTCAAAAACATTGCCAATTACGAAATGTGGCAGCCGGTATTCAGCAGTTACATCTAATTTGATGGACTGAGACACTTCGCTGATGATGATACTTTATCATTCTCCGATACTCTTTATGATATTCGAGATCCTAACCGAACACATTTATTAACTTTACTCGATGATATCATCTGTACCATAAGTCAATATTAGAAACCATTTTCAGATAACTTTATATGTTCCGTCATCCATTATTGGAGAGGTCAATACCGTGACGTTGCTGGAATTGACTGGAGCACCAGCTTGCAAACAAGCTGTCTGTTCAATTGAACTCATCGACCATCCCATAGCCAATTATTCAGTTTCTAGCTTAACACATCATTCAGGGCGTCACGGCATGCACAAAATAAGAAAGCTTAAGAAGAATTCAACGAGGCTATAAATCCGCGACATAATTGAATCATCTCTTCTGATAATCTGTAAAATTTAATAATCTTATCGAATTGATTTAATCAAATTATGATTTATGTCTGTCTTATAATTTATGTCTCAAATATCTTATAATTTATGTCACTTATAATTTATGTTTACAAACATTGTATTCTGCAGGATGGTTCTGTTGTGAATACCCGTTTTCACTCGAAATAAAATTGCAGTTCTCAATAAATGCAGTTTCGAGAGTCACACATTCTCCGCATAATCATTTTCAGAATTAGTTCTATGATTATAGAGAGAAGGTTTGTCTTCTTTGCTTCGTTTTTCACTGAACATACATTCTGGTGTTGTTGACTGATATAACCCCAAAATATTTATCTTACTATCAGTTCCAGTATATTCTCCAGCTACTTCCTTATAATACTTGTCATGTTTATATGGAAAATAAAAGCAACGAATAGTACATTATTATTCATTCTTCGTGTGTATGTTATTGTAATAGGATCTTTTGTTTATGTTAGCTTAGGTTAACTTACAATTGGATGGATTAACTTAGTTGTTTGTGTTTGGTTCCGTTCACATTTCGATAGATTTGTCTCGTCTTATTTCTCATCTCACGAAGACAAGCAGAGAGCATACGAACTGACTTTGAAAGCGTAAAACAAATGAATTAAATGAATGGTTACTAACTCAGCAATATGTACGTTTATCCGTAAATTAATCATTTCATGTATCGCAATATATTTCAAAACACATAAGCAGTACTAAATAAAAGAATGCCCTTTAGTTGCTTAGCCACACCAATTCAGTTTAACACATGTTACGTGTTGCGTGTTTGCTTTCGGTTTGTCGAATGCTTAATTTCATTTTATATGCACTCAAGTTTTAACAAGAATGACTGTTGTATTGATTATGATTCCAACCAGGCAAACAATTGCATAAAACTTACTCTACATTATTCATTCCATGGTTCACAAATTGTAAAAGCTCAAATCCGTTCATATACAAATTAAATTGAACTGAACTGAACGAGGAAGATAAGAATTTGTTCGATTGTGTTTTGTGTGATCTACTCTTACTTAGGCCAGAGTTTGGTTACACCTCCTTTCCATGCATTCATGATGTGCAATTAAATCACAACTCACCATTTGCTGCTTATGGTTTTTTGGAATGACCGTGCGTAGATCAGTTGATTTTTAAAATCACATGATAGACGAAGTTTTTAGCTTCCTAAAAATCCCCTTGCTGAATCAGTTTTCTGTCGTCAATTCTTTCAAATTCTCATCGTTTTGAATCATTTTCGATTGGCAACTTCCATCGTCGTCGTTTCTAACTGTTTATGAATTTTCACTCTTGATATACTTTTTTATGCCAGGAAAATTAATATCAGATGATATTTCCTCAACGAGATGATAAACTTATACAACTGATCAGACTTCCGACAGTCACTCAAACATCTAATATCAGCTTATATCTTAAACAATTCCAGCCAACCATTACAATACAAGAACCAGTGATTCTTTTGAACTATTTGTAAATATTGCTATATTCCAAGCATTGATCTATAAACGAAACTGATCTGTAAACATTATTGGAGACTTTAAATGCCTTTCTCAATTCATGATCATAAACAATAATTCATGATCGTAAACAAAAATCATCGTAATAACACCAATAAACGTCATAATAAGCTTGTCAATCACTTTGCCTTAACGACTTTCTTCTCGCCAGCTTATTGCTGCGAACAAATTGAAATCCTTCGAATTGTTGAGAGAAATGTACATTAAGGCGATGAATGTGCAGTTATGAATGCGAAACAACGTGCGAGCACCATTTGATGGATCGCTCCTCTCAGTTCTCGAACGAATGCATCTTGTTTTCAGCATTTTTGATTGATGCCAACAAGTTCTGTGATTTATTGACATGATATTTGTGGGCATCCATGTCACATGCTTATATTTTGGAACCATTAGGTGCCCCGATTGCGCTTCTCACTTTTCATCAGATATTTATCTGCATTACCATGGTGACATTCTGCTTGAAATACGTTCATACAAGTATTTCTCCGTTCGCATTTGTTGCTGCATAGTGCTTAGCATCAATCCACTTATGTTTCTGCCTACATGTAACTATCATGTGAGGAAATAACTACTACTTAAAAGTTTATAAACAATGCTCATCCAGTCTGATCACTGAGAGAATTTCTCGTTGGAGGATGAGCAAATTCGGAGGACAATTGGAGGACTTGACAAATCAGTGTTGATTGATTGTTTTCTTTTCGAAATTCTTTCGTAGTTAGCCATTGATGTTTGCAAAAGGTTTGCTTATTGGCAAGTAACAGACTCCTCGTATAAGATTAATTTATTGACGTACAGTACTTTATTATTAGAGGATATAGGATTACCACAGAGCGCAATTATTTTCATGANGGGAATGCTGGCCTGCCAATTTTCTTTTCTGTAGTGAGCAAAATAACGACAGCGATTAATTCTAACCGGACTGCTATTCAATGCGTGGATCTGTGAATGTGTGAAAGCATAAATGTCAAGTTCCAATAATTAAAGTTGATCAATAATTAAAGTTGTTTAATTTCTACTCGCCATCATACAAATCACATGCTACGTTTCTCTGTTGCGCTCGATATTTATGAAGTAATGCTGCTACATTACGTTCTAGATTTAAGCCTAGTTTCATTCTTCTTTATTGCAGTAAGTATGTGAATGTCGTCTATCGCCGCAAAGCTAATCATTTGTCAGTTTAGAGTGATGCTTTCGGCTGCATAGCACAAATCCCGAAGGATTTATCATCTGAAAACATGTGTTTATAGGTTTAATCGTTCTCTCCGACCACTGCGCACATCACTCACCCACTCATTTTCAGATCTGTTCAAAACACAAACTTTGCTCCACACTTAATTTGTCATAACAGCCACAATGCCCATTTATATGGCATGACCAATGTCTATTTACATCCAATTTTTTTAAGTTTGTGATTTTGTTGGTTCAAATATTGCGAGGTGAGCCGTTTCTTTGTCCATTCTGGCGGATATATCGACAAGTTTTTGCTTGCCTTCAATTTTTTTCAGCAAGAAATACGTTCTTCGACGAAAATCCATCGGAAAGTCTCAGAGACTAAATCTACTTATGGTGTGACTATATTGGAGCACATAAAACGTGCAATGTGAACGATTATATCGCGTACGTCCTGCGAGCGATTATATATCGCCTGTGTTCTACTCCTACGGGCGATTATTTTCAAACTGAAAAACCAGAGCGACTTAGGAATTTTGTGAATGTGAAATTTTCTGTTCAGAAATATTCCATTATTTGAGAATGTCGTTGAGAAATAACACCAACTTCACAATGTTCATCGAATAAATCACACGCTGAGCAATGGTATCAATTTTCAGCTTCAAGTTTTAACTGAAAAAGTTCTATAATAGTTGAAAAGATCAAAAATTCGGCAGTAATTCAGCAACAAAAAATCATTCTCAACCTTTCCAGTGTGTGAAATGATGAAGGTGAATGAACTAACTGATTCATGCACATACGCTCAAACAGTACACAACATTTTTCACAAGTTTCAAGTAGAATCGCATCGAAATCTGTCAACAAGATAGTCAGTCACATCCAGTGATCAGATCCGCTTTAGACATTCGTTCCTTCATATTCCCAAACTTACATCAACCAGCAGCAGCATCATTTCCAATGTTACACCATCCACCACCAATATGTCCAACAAAAACATCTTTCTCAGATAGCCATCCATCTGTCTATGCATGATAAGAGCATGAGCACAAGTCCATGTGGTTATCTTACGATAATACAAATATTCAACAGATAGATATTCGTAGCTTTGCGATCTTGCTTTGCGATCTATAGTCTGTTCAAAAAACAAACTTTCCATTCATTTCGTTTTATGACATTATATTATAACACTTCCTGAGGGGTAATGCTCGCCTCCTAATGAGCTCTCTCTCAGCTTCGTGTAACTAAGTTGTGCTTGATTGACAGTGTCGCATTCAATTTATAATACCTTCGATGAACTAGACACAACTAAGCAATTGAGTATGAAATTGCAAGCCTGCTCCATCATCAAACACCAGAATATCTCATGGATCAGCTTCATCCCGCTAACTGAGCACCATATTTATTTATATTTGGGCATAGATCATCAACAGCATCTGTCAGCAACAATCGTTTCGTGTCAGAATGTCGGTGAGAGCGTGATGGATTACGCACGAAGGTGATTTATTGCAACTGACATTGCCAGCTACTGAGTTGATATTGCCAGCTACTGAGTTGATATTGCCAGCTACTGAGACACATGAAGACTAGTGTACATGTGAAATGAACGTTATGAACTGAATTATTCATGCGGATGCTTGGAAAATGTTAAATGTAACCCATATCATTCCTGTGCTATTCTCCTCGTGCATTTTCGATCATGTTCGGTGCCCATTTCATCGCAATGTTCTCATCACCATCGTTATCGTCACACATGCAATTCTATGATCAACCTTCATATCAACACCTACCTATTACAGAAGCCACTGCTTCTATGTCCACTCAACATCGTATTATCATGATAGCAAAACAGCTGAATTCAAGCGTTTCATTGCACTATTGGTTTATTCGAACCCAGTAGAATAATTATATGGAATCAGTGATCTTTCCGAGAATCGTCGTTATTGTAATTTTATGGTAGACATATGGCTTATGTGCACGAAATACATTTATTAGTCACCGTTTCACCATTCACCGTCATTGTATTGGCTGCATTAATTTTGTTCGTTGAGGGATTTGGCAAGGCGATCGTTGTTTTGTGATCGTATTTGTGTTCGCTATTAATTAGAAGCGGGCAATTCCACTTTTATTGCTGACAGTATGAACGCACACATAAATTCTCATCATCGAACCCACACACAGAATCGCATGATTCAATGAGATCATTCCGTCCCTTAGTAATTCATGCAAATTAATTATTCCAGGAATGTAGCGAAATCAG